AATCAGTGTGGACACTATCTAAAAATGGCTCAGTGCTATTCAATGGTTATTTGTAGCATAGATGTGCTATTTTGTAATAAGCTATTTGGGAATTTTTATCCCAAAATTGCTTATTTTGAAATAAACGTGCAGTTTAGCCATAGCCTAAGGTGCCACAGGGCTGCTCATTGTTTTTAAAGTTACAGACTAACATGACTAACCATCTGAGACTTTCATTTATAAACACATGCAGATTGCAGACACAGCAAGTCCTGCCACTGAAGAGAGAACTTAGACGACTGTTCTACAATTTGGCTATCACTGGTAGATAAAGCCAGACCATTAAGAGTATGTTCTAGCACAGCTGATTACTGGATTTTTAAATTGGATAGATAAGCAATTTAAACTGGATGAGAATTCACATTTAAAAGCGAAGCCACTAGCCATGACAGCTATCATACCTTTTTTCGTAGTCTGGTTGTCAGACCACCCAGCTCCACAGTCTGCATTCCTGTGTGGGATTGATCTCTCTCACCCTGAGGTGCCTGCATAACAGCAGCCATGTTATTCCCATTCTTCCATCTTTGTCGTCTTAAAGCAAATGGCTTCAGAAACTCCTGATATGAAACTCTTAAAGAAAAATAGAAAGAGAAAGAACAAATACATTCATGTTGCTACAAACCAAACCTACCTAGATGGTACCTTAATTCATCTTCCTCATTTGAATACTGTGCTCCAAATTTTCTATCCTTCTCAAAACCTGTGTACTTTAATATCGTGTATTTGACTCTTTCCATGCATAAACTTCATATTTGCCCATGCAAATCAAGTAGTTGACCATTTAGCCATCTATTCTGCATTAGCAGACATGCAATTCTGTGGCTGCTGATACAAAGTATATCTTGTAAGTGTGTTCTTTACAGCCCAAAGTTACAGCTTCTTAGATTATTTTTTTATTTTAACATTACCCTAAATGTGAAGAGACCCCATTCAATACAGATAAAGGACATCTTGGCCATGAAGAACTTTCACATTAATTTCACACAAGATGCAATGAAAGGTAGGATGAGAATATGGAAGGGAAGGAGAGGAAAGTGGGGACAATATCATTAAGATTAAGCAGTTATTTGCAAACGTTAGTGCACAGCATGGTGAAGCAAGTAATACAAGTGGGACATGTGGATAGAATTAAGGCGTAGGATCTACCTTGCAAGCATCATGAAAGAAGTGGATTTTCAAGAGAGATGTAAAAGAGTAGAGGGCAGTGGCTGTGCAGACCAGACCCAGTTCCATAACTTTGCAGCTACATGGAAGAAAGTGTGGAGATAGTTGTGTAAGAAGCAGATGGAAAGGGTGTAAAGCTGGCAATACTGGTGAAATCAAGCTTAGATGATATGGAAAAAATGTCCAGCTGAGACTAAAATAGGAAAATCAAATGACCTAAGCAAGAATTTGAATTCCTGTCTTTAAAAAGTGCATTAGTTCATTGTGTCACTTACAGTATCTAACACCACTATTGTTTGTTCAGTTTTATAGACTTCCACTTAGCTATCATATGTTTATGGACCAACTTACTTCTAATTTCCAAGTTTAACTTACCTTCCATCTCCATTGCTTTCAAATTTCTTTCCCAGCATTTCACATTCATACTCATTAAGATGCACACAGAGCTCAGTCAAAATATCTTTAAATTCTTCTTTGCTTATAAAGCCTGTATGGTTGGGGTCTAGCTCTTCAAACTCTTTCTGGAGATCATCCCAAAAATACTCCACCTACAAGAAACAAACCCCATACAATCCTGTAGTGTTCAGGATCTACACCCAGTTCTCTAACACTGCAGCATATACTCCTCGGCTGTGTCTAGACTGGCATCTCATGTAAAATCATCAGTGCTTTTCCAGAAAAACTATGCTGCTCCCGTTCGGGCAAAAGTCTTTTTCCGAAAGACTTTTGCCCAAAAGGGCCAGTGTAGACAGCATAGTACTGTTTTCCGCAAAAAAGCCCCGATTGCGAAAATCGTGATCGGGGCTTTTTTTGCGGAAAACCATGTCTAGATTGGCCAAGGACGCCTTTTCGCAA